AGTCTAACGAGTTAATTCAAAATTAAGATTGTTTAGGCAAATAGGTGAAGGGTTGTGTTGAGTTGGATACTTCTCCCGGACAATAAGTTACCCTCAATTTTTGTGGATTAAGTTAGGTTTTAAAAATACATTAAAATTGAGTAAAATGGGGAAAAGTGCGAAGAAAAAAAAGTTAGCTTTGTTCAGATTATTTGATTCAAAAAGAATTCAGATTCAGAAAAGCAAAAATTGAATTCAGTGAGACGCTAATAGAGATTGAATAAGACTTAGCAAGACTTTGCTTGGACAATAGATTAACAGTTAAGTTGATTAAAACATAATCAGATAATAACAATAAGGAAAAAAAGTAATCCATTTTGAGTTGAATTATAACCGAATGGAAGGAATATGGATTTGCATTTATTTAACAAGTGAATCTTCCGATCATGACTTATCGCGAATATCTTTTCACTGCGTACGATTAATTCAATGCACATTCAAAGACTCGAATTTTGAATTAAAAATTTTCGCTGGTGGACAATCATTGACGAAATTGAGTTCAAAAGTCATTTGGACTCTTTTTGTACAGTCGAGGGACCAGATTTTTCGCCAAACTCTTTACTCGAAAGTTTTGCAGACATTCCTAGTCCAACAATAAACCATCAACCTAAATAACCAAAAAGTTTGTCCCAAACACAATGCTACAAAATATGGATTCTGCATTCTCCCCTTACTCTGTTTAAACGTGAATTTCTCAGTAACCTAAATTCTGGTTAACCTCTGACTATTTTTCGGACATGCAGCTCAATCGTGGCTTTCAGTCTATGCAAAAATTTTCCTTAGAATCCTTTCCGTTTAGTTACAATTTTTACACAAAAATTTGATGTTTTGACTATATATATTGTACGGATGTATGGATTAGAATTGTTAAAGTGATTAAAAAGGAATTTCAATTTGGGTAAACGTACGTTGAGAGCTTGTTGGGATGAAGATGCAAGTGAATCGACTGAAGTTGCCTTTGAAACTCGAAGAAGATCCAAGTGATCACAAGAGATGCTCAATGAATGAGACGATGAGGTTTTAAGGAAAGTTGGAGTTGAATTACTTTTGGATAGAAACATTTTACTCCAACGAGAAGCAACCTTTACTGGAATCACTTCGGTTGACATTTAATTAGCAATTAATCCAAACAACCCAATAAACACAGACTACTTTGGTAATCAAATCCATATAATCCAGGAATAGACAAAAAGCAACACTAAACTTGCAAGTAAAACTGTGACAAGAAAAAGGAAAGTTTAATCCAATTGATCAACATTCAATCCTGTTCATTTGATTGCCAGGAAATCAAGTGAAACTCTTGAGCTAGGAATGTTGATCCAATCCAAATGTTAACTCCGAATGTAAACTAATTTTGGTAAACATTTTTACACTAAAAGGCAACTAATGTTGAAGAAAAAAAGAGTTTAAAATGATGGCGATCACAATGATGTGTTGATGTTGATTGTGATGATTGGTGACGATGAAACAATGCTGAAAATTGATGAAACAGTGTAAACTAAATTGAGAGTTGATTTGGAAACTATTACGATGAGACAACGAAAACAAAAAAACAACAACAAAACAATTTACTAAACAACAGCAAACGCATTTACTGTTGATATAAATTTCAGGTCAGGATTAAGTGAAACAAGCGTTAAAATTTAATCCTAAAAAGATGATGAAGCTTTGCATCCTCCTACTCCATCCATTTTCACCCCCTTTTTTACCTGCTAACCTGACTTGAGTCTGCATCAACCCTTTTTCCCCTGCTAACAGTTCCACCCTGTCTTCCACCCTTAAATTATCTTTTTCATCATTTCCAATCTTGAATTCAAACACTTTTTTTCTTCTTCTTCTTCTTACTTTACCTTTTTCCCTCCTCAATGAAAGTATTACCATCAATGATTACAAAAAATAGCGAAAGCAGTTTTTTTTTATTCTCAATCTTTATTTGCTTCATCTTAAAATAAAACGGCTAAAGTTAGCAGGAAATCGAGCCATTTGTTTAATTGATTGATCAACACACGATTATTGCCATTAAATCAATTTTTCGTAAAATGTTGGAAAGATTCACAAGCTTTAGGGTTATAAAAAATGTCTGTTTTTACATAACAAATTAAATCAACTTTTCAACCAATTTTGCGATCTTGCTCGCATCTCGATGATGCAAAAAATAGCCCAAAGTCTTGTAAGCTTTTGGTGAATCGCTTTGACTCAGCTTTTGTTTTCACCTAAACTCAAGTAAAAGGTTTGATATCAAATGAAATATCAGCTGTTTCAGGATTAACCGATTGTCACAACTGACTTCAACTGTAAGCCTGAATTAACGGATATCCAACATTTAACTCAAATTTTCATCAAGATGAATGAACCTTTATCAAAGTTATCTGTACATTTGTAGGTTTTAATCAATTTGTTGTCACAATAATAATGCAAAATAAGGTGACAGCTTTTCAAGTCGGGATAAGCTTGACCATCAAGCAACTCATCTGTGAATCCTTTAAAAGGTTGGAAAATATTTTCTTCTAATCCAAAGTGATTGAGCTAAATCTAGTAAAGCATATTATGGTTGATTAATTAAATTGAGGTCTAAACCGGTGTGACCTCAATTAGTGACAATTTGCCATCAAGATTGTCCACTGATTACTAGATGGTGATCAATGTATTGAGAAAAGGAAACTACATTTTTTCACCAAGTTAGCCTAATCAGATTTCATGGGTTCACTATTCATAGTAAACTGTATTTTCTACAGGTCAAGTAAAGTCCGTTACAGGTAACAGTTAGAAACGTCATCATCAACTTTTTCTTTTGCCTCTTGGCAAATGAAAATTTTTGAAAAACAGAAAAAAAAACATTTCTTCTTCTTCTTCTTCTTCTTTGCCATCTTCATCCTTATCGTCACGGTCTCGTCATATCCGGATCTAAACAGTTGATAATCTGTTGATGATGAAAAGAGCCTTTCACTGATCCAAGAAGTTAACGGTGATACGGACTATGGTGATGTTCAGTCATCATCTAATCTTATTACCTTTCCCTGAACACCCAATTGTAATCCAACAAAAAAGTGATCAATGAATAAATGAAAGAGAGTAAAAAATCGCAACATTTTTCGTCCAAACCAAAATCATTGTTTTTTTTGTTGCGGTAAATCAAAATTTCATGGTTAAGAGATTATCATTCATGTTTATCATCAAACGTTAATTCATTTATCCATCATCTTCAGTAGCAAAGGGCAAAGTAACAATCAATTGATGGTGAAAAATCAAGTCGATTGTAAGAATAATTTTTACCGTTTAAACCAAAAAAAAAGGAAAACAAGAAAATGTCCATTTCAAGGAAAAATATCTTTAACTGATTGGAAACTGAAGAGGTCAGTAAATTTTGCTTTCAAGTAAGTAGAGTTATTTTCATCTAAACAAGGCCAACAGGTAAATGATATTTTGTATGTTTAAAGAAAGTCTAATATAAGGATGAAAATTAAGACTCAAGATAACAGTACAATCAACAGTAGTTGGTTAAACAGTAAATTCAAATCATTTTGTTTATTTATGATTAAAGACAGCAAAAGGCAAAATATAAGGTTTTCTGGTTTGTTGTTGTATTGCAACTAACAACCTTTAATATCAATCTTGTAATGTAAATCCAATTGTGAGGCATTTTTAGGTTTTCAGTCTGTTCTTTACCTCGATTCTGGTTCTGGTAATGATATACATATAAGTGTATAAATATATCATGCTAGGATTGAAATCTAATAATAGCTGGTGTTATCCGGGCAGTTAGATTGAAGGGTTTGTTTCAATGTACGATAAGGTTGGAATCGAGGGGAAAATGTTGAAAATTATTAAGACGTTATCATTATTTGATATTAATATTCAGATCATTCAACTTGTAAACACAATTGTACAAATTGATGGATAACAATAATACCAATATAATGCCAATTGTTGGTACAAGATTAGATGTTGTTTCAACTTTCATGTTATTATGGCTACTGATTCAGTTTGATTGTCTTACTGGTGATCATTTGATAAGCACAGTTACCTACTTTTGTTTTGCTTATTCAATCAAATTTTCAATTTCAATCTTCAATTTCAATTTTCGCCAATACTTTTTGCTTCCCATGCAAATTTGATTAAAACATTTGTTCACATTTTTTGATTGTAAATTGAAACTTTGAGGCAACATCAATTAACTCATTTTTCCCATTCAATTTGTACTGAACATTGAAAAGGAGGTTGGAATAGACATTTTGTTTTCTGGTTTCTCTGGTCAAGTATTTGCTTTCAATTGTTGCCGATTGATTTGAATTGTTTTCTCAGGATTGTCCTCAAGACAAGGACATTACTATTTAACTTGACAAGGTTGTCGGAAATGACTTTAATATTCATATGGAATGTGATCTTGATAAGATGAATTTCATGAGCAAGGTTAGTCTGAGGATGAATTTAGACTATTAAGACGATGGGAAAAGTACTTATTGTGATTCATGATTGTTTCCTATTCAATGAGTTTACCTTGAATTTGGATGGTAAAAGGCCTTCTGTTTGTTTAAAATGACAATTAACTGTGATACACTTTCTTGCTCTTAATCATGCATTTAATAGACCATCATTTAGATGAAAAAAAACATAATACTAGGAACCATTAAGGTGCCTTTGCTAGTTGGTTAATAACCAAATTGGGTTTTGGGTAATGGGTTTTTCTGCCATTGGAATTCAAGGTTTAATCTGATAAATCTTTTTGACCAATGATATGGCAACAAGTCTATCTGATCTGAAAGGTTACTTGAATTTTTTCAATTTTGGTCTTGCTTTAAGCTCGCTGCTCATAAATAGGTAAATTACTTGGTCAGAGTTGGTCAAAATTTGAAATATTTTTTGATCTTTTAAAGCGAGTTGAGAGCTGGCAAATTTGTCACTTCAATGGTTGAAATAGTAAAATTGAAATCAATTTAATATAGATAATCGGTTAAGCTTACCGGTAGATGAAAAAGATGGTCGATTGTGTGTAAAACAGGTCCTTGAAAGGTTCGACATAAGTTAATCAAATCAATTTCTTCACATTTAGTCTCGAAATAACTGGTAAATAAACGAAATTAAAAAAAATCTGTTAATTTACTGTGAAAACAATCATTTTGTCAACACTTTAAACGAGTTAACCCAATTTGGTGCATAGCTACAAAAACTTCTCATAGATGGCGATAAGAAGCAAATCTTTGAAGTCAACTTTTAAATTAATTTAACCGTTTAAATGATTAAAATTTGTATCAAAATGTAATTCATAAATCAAGTGAAAAGTTTAATGTCAAGATAACTTTTAAACTGCTTACCTGCAAATTATTTCAAACGATTTGATGTACTTGTTATACTCGGACCAAAGTTGATTTGAAAATAAATTACCTGTAAATTGAAAGATAATGATTAGTTGATTTGTCAACAAAATGAATTAATCAGTGGAAGAATGGTGAATTTGGTGAATTAAATGTTGGCCAATTTCCTAAGGAATTGATTTTCTCCTTTCACAACAATTTATCGATCAGTAAATGATAACAATTTAGATAATTGTTGAAATATTTTGGCGAAAAAAAACAACATTAAAAGTAAAATGAAATTGCTCGAGTCTCAATTGAATGAATCAATTGTTTATGTTTGCACGGCAAAAAATGATCTCAATTGTTTGGTTAAGTTAATGTCAGATTTGATTCAATAGTCAAATAATCAATTTTTGATCAACAATTTTTTAAAACCTAAAAGATTACTATTAAATGGTTAACCAAGTGTTGATCAAGTGCTGGTTAAACCCAAATACAGTTCAAGCTCAATGGATGAAAGTGACGAGAAAGAAAGAGTTAAATGATGATTAAGATAATTAAAAGGTTTGCTAAAGTTGATTATTAAAGTTCAAGGTAAATTATTTTGTTGCCAATTTATTTTTCACTTCAATTGTATTCAACTGGTCATTGATTTTCTGAAAAAAATTGACTCGCAATCGATTGATTGTCCAAGTTGAAATATTATTTTACTTTTATCTATTGGATATAAACTGATTAACAAGGATACATTGGAAGCAATCAACTAATTGTTTACTAATGTTGTGGGTCAAACCATTGAAATCTGGTAAATGATGGGAACAACAAAAGAGATTGAAAAGTGTTTTAAAACCAATCAGTTGATGGCTGATGGAAATGATCCGAGATGAAAGTAAATTAGGTTGAATGTGTAATAATGAAAAATGATCAATTGATCAAAAAAAGGCATCATTTGAAGAGAGAAAATAAAACTGGGCAAATCAAGTATTATCAAGTAACAGTTAAGAAACAGTCAAGTCAACCAGATCATTATGACACCTTTAATAGTGTTCAATAGGTAAGCTTATTATTAGTTATCAAGTATTATCCTGATTAACCTACAATTTGCTAATTCTTCATCTTTTCTTTGCTCAGTTAAATGATGAAAGATGCGGTAAAATGAGAATCAAACAAGAAATTAACCCTGAAAATGATCTGTATTGAGAACGAAAAAACTGAAACTTTAAAGAAGATTACTTTTTACAGTTACTTTTCATTTACACCATTGAAAAATAATAACCATCTTCATCATAATCATAATCTGAAATTATCATTTATCATCAAAATTCAACTCCTCAAAGAGATGTAAGTCTAACCTGAGCAAGTCACACTTGTTGCGTCAAATGTATTGACAGTCAAGCTACTTTCACAGTAAAATTTTACATAAACATTGTAAATCGTAAGAGGCTGAAGGAGATGTCAATCACAACCTAAGCTAGTCGCCTTTACCCCATCAAAATTGACTTACAGTCAAGGCCTCTCATGCAAAAAAATTTCACTCTTCATTTCCATCATCTGCTTGATCTTCATCGTCTTCATCATCTCTATCGTCTCTATCATCTTTGTCATCTTGAACATTTTCATTTTCTTCATCTTCATCTTCATAATCAATGTGGATTTAATGAGGCCGAAAGACAGTTAAATTTCAACCCAAGTAAGTCACTTACATCCCATTGACTGTAACACACAAGTAGGCCATTTTCACGCAATTTTTTCTTCATTTTTTTCTCATTTTTTCTCATAATCATCTTCCCTATCTTCATCACCTCCATCATAATATCAAGAAAATTGTCAATAACAACATTTTGTTTCTCCTTTTTATCCTCTTTACTTGGCAGTAGGTCATCATTGATGACTTTGAAAGGTATTAAAAGTACAAAGATAATAGAAAACAAAACTCAATTTAATAATGATCAAAATTCAATGATTATGATGAATCGACCCAAAAAATTAATCTTAATTGATATTCAGTATTTCATTGGTCAAATGTCATGGTTTGCATTGTCCAATAAAATGGGAAACACTTCCAATAATTTCATTTACTAAATTTACTCGTTCACTTTTTACTCAAACCTACAATTATCGTTCAAACCTTGTTTTACAATCAAAGTCAATAAACTAACCAAAAGGTGAAAGTTTATTAAATGTGTATTAATAACAATCGGTAAATATTTTGCAAATTGTACAATCAATGAATGAATAAAGGATAAACAATAAATAAAACTAATTGCAACTTTAAATGAGGTCAAAATTGGGCTCTCATTTTCAATATATTTATCATCCATTGAGTTGATCTCATGTTAATTGGGTATTTAGATGTGAAACAAATTTAACAATATAATGAAGATTTACAATGGTGAAGGTAAGATGAGTTTCATTTTGTAAATTACATTGTCAAGTGCAAAATTATTTGCATAATTGTTACATTAATTAATCTTATTGTAAGTTAATAAACTATTCACAATCGAGCATCTTTTCAGGTAAAATATTTACTAATATTAACCAACATTGAATAGGATTAACCAGTTTATTCAAAAGTACATTGCTATTGTAACTTGTTTTGCACTGGTTAACATCAATCATGTTCACAATTAGATTGGCTAATTTAACTGATTTAACTGATCTAATTGCGAAACTAATTTCACTTTAATCTCTCATTAAACAGTAATTGTTATGCAGATTTAAAAGACACTCAATAGACAAGATGATTTTGTAAATATAAATATCTTTAAATTGAATCGATTGAACAATTTAACCAGAAAATTTTGAGGAACATGTTGCTAACTCCATCTATTGTTGAAAAGGTTAACGAGTTTAAACACATGTTCGAGTTTGGTTTTTAGTTTAATCTGTGTAACTGTATTAATAAATTGTTCATCTAATCTAATGAAAGAACTGGATTAATTGGTGAGTAACAATTCTAATTGTTTTTATTTCCATCTCTAGTTGACACCAATTTCTAATTTACTCTTTCTGTTTCCCTGTTTTTGTCTCTTTCCTTACAACATTGATCTCCTTTTTTTAGGTATCAACCTAATTTCAATATTGGTTCATTAATTATTTTAAAACTGACCAAGGAGAAGCAAAAGGAAAAAAAACATCTTTAAATTAAACAGTTAACACGCAGATACACCAGTTTCAATAGTGCCTAATACTGGGATCATAAAGCTTTAAGATTTAAACATCTCAATGGTTTCTTTATAGCCCATCCAGATTGGAAGCTAAGGTGATGGAGAAACTTCACAGCTTCTTGTTCCTGATCAATTCAAATTAGGTTAATAATGATGAAAAGAGAAATAGAGAAAATGAGAGAGAAAGAAGAGTGAAAACAAGATCACACTTGATGATGATCCTTCATCATAATCATCACTATTTCAAGCTCATTATGTATAAGAATGATGAAGTTAACTATTTCATGCTAACGGCTACTTTCTATTGACCAATCAACCAACCAACCAGTTAGTCAACGGAGAGAAAAATACATAAAAATCAAGCCAATCTTCAAACTTGATCTTCCTTTCTTCCATTTCATCATCATCCAGATCATCATCTTTCGCCAATCTCTTAAATTCTCATCTAGAAAATGGTTGCAACAGAAACTCAGGGAATAAAACATTTATTTTTTGGTTAAATTAGGCTAACAATCAATTTAAATGATACTCTTCAATGGGTTCAACTTAAACTTCCATCATCATCACCTAAACAAAATGGTTATATTACTTCTCAATCATTATCAACATCATTATCGACCAACAAGTACAGTTGTAATGATAAATACGGAGGCAGAGGAAAAAAACAACCAAAAAAACAAGAAAAAATACACTAATAAATAACCCTTTTGGTTCATATAAATTAACTCAGGCAATGATAGCCAATAAATAATAATGAGGTTGTGTTAATGATGATTTAAATATTAACAACTTGAAAAAGGTCTGAAAAAATAGAAGGAAAAAAATGATAGAAATGACCATTTCTCAATGTAGACCGTTTTGGCCAGGAAAGTAGTTAAGGGTTAAGGTTAATGTTTGGCCATTGAAGGAGCAAAATTGGTTTAAAAATGGACCTAAAAAAGGGCAATTCTTGATAATTACATCTGAATTGACCAACATCACAATGTTTCACCAAGCCAGCCATTGAGAGTTTCAATGTTTGTACAACTCTAGTCATTTGATTAATCTGATTAACCATTTTTAACCATTCAATATTGACATGGAAACAGTTTGACAATCAACTGTGATTTAGGTCAGTCTTTGTTTAATCTTGTTTATTTTTATGGGTGTTCAAGTTAATCAAGTAAATAGTGTAAATTGAAATGATTTATGATGATCCTCAGTTTCATTAATAAAAGACTCGGGCGATTTATGGGTTTAACTTGATTAATCATGTTCAATTGCTTTTGATTGTTTTGTCTCAATTAGAAATGAAATGTTGAAAAATGAATACACTTTTCATGATATTCATTTTTTACTCATATTTTGACTAGAAATGAAAAGGTTAACCTTTACTTTTCAAGGTCAGCTTAATTAATAACTCGGTTAAATTTAACTGCAAACAATTTAAATTCTTAATCATGTTGCTTATGATTGAGGATTAACTTAAGTCAATGACATTAACATATGACAAGGTCGCTCAGGTGACCCTGGTAAGGTAAAAGCGCACGCAATCTGTTTTTTGTGTGTGTGTGCTTGACCGACAACATGATGTGAGAGGATGGGGAAGATGAAAATAGCGGAATGAGTAGCAAAAAAGAGAGTGATGATGATAAAAGATTAAGACATGAAAAGATGAATCTTTGATTGGAATCCAATTAAAGGTGAAGCAAACAATTTTTACCTTCATTATTATCTTCCTTTCTCTCTTTGCTCTGATTATTTTTTTTTCATTTCATTTCTATTTTAATTTATCTAAATCTGGATTTGTATTATTCAATAGTCTAAATTGATTAGCTGTAAGAAGAAAGTTCAAGTTTAATCCAATTCACTCAATACACCGATTTTGAGGGAGGAACAGTTTTGAAGGAAACTAAATGGTTAGACTAACAATCGACAGTTTGATTAGAGTATGAACAATTGTTGGCATGAATCGAGTAGTTCTGATAGAAATGGTCAAATAGAAATGACCTTTTCTAATTCTGATGTTAGTCTGAAATGTTTATTTCAATCAAATCAACCTTTTGTAACCAAGATTATAAACCTCTGTAAATGTAACAAATACAAATGAAAATATCATTGGTCACAAATTTTTGATTCATTGATTTTCACTGAATGCACTTGAACTGTAAAGAGCATCGAAAGACTTAAATATCTAGACTTTCGATATTAAAGTGAGAAAATTTAATTCTGTGCTCGATATTTTGCGATATCGAAAGGATTGAGCTGATTCTTAGGAATTATCGATAATTTGATTCGACCAAAAATAGATTCAACTGTAATATTGTGAACAAGTTTCACTCAAATGACAAGATCAAGGGAACAAATCCAATGTCTTTTGAATTTGAAACAAATTGTAACTTTACTAAATCGCCAATTTGCTTAAATCTAATTTTCTGGTTGTTTTCACATAAAGTAACATGTTTATTGGAATCGAATCAACTTGAAAAATTTTACTCTTCAAACTGTAGCTGGAATTGATCTGTTTGTCATCACAATAATGCAAAGCAACCTGAACATTGAACTTTGCCTAAACAAGTCTAGTTATCATTGATAGTCAAACCGGGAAAGCCAAGTCTAAACCTGTCATTAGACTTTGTCCATTGACATTAGACTTAAATTTCAACAAAATTTGGACTTTGAATAGACCAATATGAAAGAACCTGAACTTTACAACAAACACAGTTAGACACAATCATCTGAACAATAAGGTTTGATTCCATAAAACTAAAAGTTACTTTGATTCGAAACGAAGTAAACTATTATCAGACTTGAGCTTTCACCGGTTTTTGAGTCAGTTTTGAGTATTTTCACTAATTCATTGTTGAATATAAACTGTAAAGAAATACAAAGAAATGAAAATGAATCCAAAAACATACCGTTTGCCTTAAACTTGCAATGGTTCAAACAATGACACTAAACCAGATGATAAACCAACACTGATAAGTTCACAAAATTTTGGTGGAAACGTTTAGTTGATTAGTTCATGAGCTTGAATAGACCGATTGGATATCTAAAGATGACTTTTACACTCAATGATTGACACTGAATCAATAATTTAAAGGTGGATAAATAACCCAATGGAAATGAGCATGTTAATGATGAGGTTATTACTCGATAAGTACACAGTGTCAAGTGAACTATGTAAGTTTGTCATGAAAAGATGATGTTGGATGAGAAAGATGAAAGATAATTATGAAAGTCAGTAGATAAAATGATGAAAGAGAGAGCCAGATAGAGAGAGTATTTTGGTGTGAAAAAAGTGAGTATCTTCATCATCATCTTTATTATCAAGTGATTCAGGTCAACAAACTGGTTTCTTCAAAAATCTATTCAATAACAAATCTCTTTTATTATTTGGGTGATCTTCATCTTTATCATCTCAACTGAAAACTCATCATTTCTCCTCATCACTATGATTATTAAATGAACGGGAAAATGAAATCTAAATAATTTTCATTGATGGAATCATTGACCGAGATTATGTCTCAAAGTGTCCTCAATGAAGAGACTTGAAAAGGCCAAACGAGTGTCTTTAAAAATTACACATTGATGACATTTTTAATGTTTAATGATACTGATGATTGTCATTAATTCAATTTATTACCCAATCAATGATGATTTATAGCGACACAATTAATTGATTCATCATTGCAATATAAAAAACACATTAAAGAGGGAAGTTGAAATTGTCTGAAGAGACATCTTTATTTTTAATCAGAGAAGCAACCTTTTCAACCTTTTTTCATTAATATTTATGTTTTCAATTATAACACATTTATGCTTTTAATTAGCTTGGTAATTACCAAAATGATTAGTTAATTAAAACACAATTGACTGGATAATTGAAATGTTTTAACAATAAAGCAAACTCTCACTGGTTTGGATAAAAGTGAAAAATGAAATCTCATTTTCTGGTTTTCTGGTCTTTTATGTCTGACAATGTGAGACTCCTTGAAACTGCTAATTAACTAGATTGCTTTATGAATGAAAATTTTGCTAACTCAAGTTGATCTCAACAAGAGTTGACTGATCAATGGAAAAGTCAAAGTTCATCTCCAGTTTCAATGGTTTTAATAGTTTTAGTGATGCTAATCGCGACTGTCCACATGATCTTTGTATAGACTTTTGTCCTTTCTAGTTCAATCGTAAAGACTAAAGAAGTTTGACCTCTTAAAGAGTTTAAAGCTTGGAAGCGCTGGTGGTATTCAACAGACTATTTTGCATCATAATTTTCATGTCAAATCGGTATTGAATCCAACAACTCTGATGATTAAAGTCGATTTGATTCTAATGGACTTATTTTACTGCTGAGATTTCAAAATATTCATTCATCTAGGGAAAGAAGTCTTCTCGAGTTGAATTTGGAGGTTAAATTTTTACATGTAAATCAAGTTTCTTTCTGATGCAATTTCCCTTCACAGTACAAAATATCGCTTCAATTTTCGGATTATTTGCTTTTCTCCTCTTATACAGCATCCGTCGATTCAGCACTCACGAAACTTCTTCCGAAGAGAAATCGCAATATCACTCTGAACAAATTAATTTACACAATTTTTGCATTTCTTTTTTTCTTTCTGTACTTGGTAACATAGCTTTTGCAGCTGACGATAAATTGCTGTTCCGTCTTGAAGACTTTCTCATGCTGATGAGCTTATGAACTTTGTTTAATAAGTTCAAGATTCAAAGAGAATCACAAAATTTTCGAGTCAACTTCGCTTCAAGTCTCGTATTCAAAATGATTTATTCAAAGTAAGTTATTGATTTTGAGTTTGATGAAACCTGAAACCGTTTCCATGAAAATACAGTTCTAACTGTGTTTCTTGCTTTTGTTTAATAAAGTTTGATTTGATTCTAATATTTTATTTATAAAGCATTGATAATAAATGGTCATTTACTCAACCTAATAACTGGTATCAAATGATTTGTCTCATAATGATGATGTTAACCGTTTCTGGTCATCAAAAAATCATGTTTCATCAATGATGATAAACAGTTGTAATTTAAATACGTTGAAATGTTATAAGAGTAAAATAAGGAACCGATTATTAGTCTAGTAGGAAGAAGAAATGATCAATTATTGTAACAATTTTCGACTGATTATTTTGAGCTTAAAAAGATGCCATCAAATGGTCAACATCACTTTCACTCTTAAACATTAATAGCACAATTTGGATGCTGTTGATTGCAATTAGTTTTTGTTGTTGTTGAAACCTTTCACCATTCATAATGATAATTGGCAATAGCAAAGGATTTGAATGTAAAAAGTTACGCTTTCAACAATTTCCTTGATGTTCAACATTTTTGCATTCAAATGATTCACAATGATTATTGTAACACACATTACAAACCAGGTAAATGTATACAATTGAACAAGCCGTAAAGCAACAGTTCAATAAACTCAATTGATATGAAGTTATCAGGAAAAAAAACAAAATGAAAGTGAATAAATGTTTAATTGAAATACTTAAGGCCTAACAAAGTCAACAATTAGTCAATTAATTAACTTACCATTGATTATCTTGTGAGTTTCCCAGCCTTTTAGAATAGCTTTGATCTGTTGAAAGAAAAAGGTTTTTTCATTAAAATTTGCTTTTCTCATTAAAACATTGAGTTATCATTTCATTGGCAAACCAGAAACGCTTTAACCAGATTTGGTCTTTTTTTGGGTAAACCAGCAACAATCGATTTGATTGACAATTGATGAACAATTAAAATTGCCTTTTCAAGCAAATTAGGATTTATTACTCTCAATAGATATTATTATTGACCTTAAATCGTTTTGAGGGTACAACGGTTTTGGGTTATTCAATGTAAGTTTTTGCATTATCCATTGAATGGTCAGTCAATGTTTGACGGCAACTTCATTTTAATATCTGTAACAATTAGAGTGGGAATGTTAGGCTTAATGGGTGAGGTTACCTTTATTATTTGACAGAGTAAATGTTACCTAAAAAGATAACCATTCTTATCATCATCTTGTTCATCTTTTCTTTTCATCCATTTCTCATCATGTTGAACAATGAGACAACCAGAATATACTTTCAGATCAAAAAACCAGAAGTTAATTCATCAACCAAAAGAAAGGGAAGAAAACTTTTTTTCAAAAACAAAAAATGGATTTACAAGTGATTCTTTCAATTAAATTAATCGCCGCTATTATCATCATATCATGACATACATGATAACCCAAGTTGATTACAGTTTTTTTGTGTTCAGATGAAACAATCAAATCTCAATTGTCTCAGATAATTAAATTAAACCAAAGCTATTAATAGTTGGAAGAAAGATTTCATCTTTTTCTTCTCGCAACTTTTTTTCAAGTTCAATGCGATGTAAAGATGATTATGAAGATGATGTATTAGTGAATCAAATTTGATAGAAAAGATTCAGTTGAACATCTCAACATGGAAAGTGAGTAAATATTTGATTAACAGAAATGAAAATGATGTTCATTAAAAGAACAGATTAATTACTCATGTTTAATCTTAAGTGATTTAGATATAGATTGAGATTACCCTTTACCCTTGAGAAGAGACATTTGGAGAAACAGAAATGCTCTTCAAATGATTCATTTCATGATGTATTATTACACCTTTTTTTATGGTCAGAAGAAGAAAAATCCATCTTCATAATCACATCTTCTTCATGAATGGGCTTAGTGGGCCGAAAAATGGCCCATCATGAAGAGAGAGAGAGAGAGAGAGAAAGAAAGAGAGAAAAATAAACACAAGAATTGATAAAAATTACCAAAAAAATGAGCTTCATCTTCACCTTACAGCAAGAAATGTTAGAAAGCGAATCAAACTCATTCCAAGAATCAATCTTATCATGAAACTTGTCATATCAGGTAAACCGCTCTTGTAACTCTTTACAGCACCAAACATCATTAGCATCATCTGGCTGATTATTACAGGTTTCATTGCAAATCAATCAAGTTAACTTTTCCATTTTGTTAAACTTTTTATTTCACATTTTAAGCTTTTTGTTTGTTCATTTCACAAAAATGGCTTTAAAATGGGAAAAAAATTATCCAAAATACTGGGCCAATAGGACTGGACAAGGGTTTATATGTTAAAGGTGGGCCAAAACAGAGTTTGGACTCATTTAAATAGTTCAACATTGTTGAACCCTTTACTAAAACAAAGCCCATTTTAGTGCCAAAAAAGATGAAAATTGTTCTTCTTTTTTTGCTTGTTACACATTTTTTAAATGGCTTAATAATCAAGAGGGAAACTCCTTTTTGCTTGACCATTAAACCTCTTTAACAATCAAATGAAGTCATTTTATCTACTTTTGGTAAATTGTTTTCTTTACCTTTTTTAATGTTTTCAGGTTACCATGAAATATTTCATTTTCATCTTTTTTTGTGAACAAATGATGTTCAACTCTTACTGTTAATTCACTTATTAAGAGCAGATGAAATGATTAGAGTTTACCAAATTGCTGAGATTTACTGTTGTTTGATGGGTTTACATTAACATTTTCAAACCATTTCTAAATTGTTGGGTTAGTCTTTGCGGTGGTTTAAAGATGATTAAAGTCAATAGAGTTAATCATTGAAAAGTATCAACAAACATTTTTATTTTTCAGCCTAAAAAGCAGATTATTATTATTGCTAATGGATCATGTTGGATTAGCCAAAGTGTGCAAAAAAAGGTTAAAACCTGTCAAAATACATATTTTTTAACTTATGATTCAGTGTTTTGATGCTAATAATTGCTATTAAAGGTTGACCTGAAAATTGTGGAAGATGCGACTTTTTCATCCCAATGAGTTACTGAGGTTTACTGGTTAAGTGGTTAAATTATTACGCTTAAATTAAAAGGTTAAGTCAAGGTAATCTTATAAGCAAATTAAATGTCAATTCATCTGAAAAAGTCTCAAACTTTCATTTCAGTGACAAATAACGTTGGCGTTAATCAGGTTTCATCACTGAGAGATGAACTGATTTAGGTAATTGACTTTGAAATTTTGTTCCAATTTTAACAATGAATTTCAAGAAGTTTCAAGATGAGTTTACTGACATGTTTAATGTTTAAATGAAACTCAAGATTGAAAATTTACTCAATTTGATTCAATTTACCTTTAAATTGTTTTCACTCTTTGATTATTGTATGACTTTTGACTTTTTCATTAAACTGAATCTCAATTGATTCAAATATGTTAAAGGTTTTGACTGTAAATTGTTCAACTTTTTTTCACTTCATTTTTGGGTTTCATCGTCCAATTGAAATGATTAAGGAATCAAGTTAAAAGTTAACCACTTTTTGCCTGTTGATTATCTGCTAATTAAAGTTGTAAGATGTGTATTTGATTATGATTAAACTTGAAATTGAATCAAATGGAAAGATTAATCATTTTGATAGTAAAGTGAATCAAAAGTAATTTCATTGAAATTATATTGAAAAGTCAAAGATTAGGCTTAAGTAGAATCAGAAATGAAACAATTTAACTAATTAACATTAAACATTCTCAAGATTGGGACACTTTTAATTACCTTAAAAGTTACAATTTAGCTTCAATTCATAAATAGCAATGAGAATAAATTGTTGAACTAAATCATCAAAAGCAACATTCAATAATCCAAATGATGGACACTTTTTGAGGTTGATTTATCCTGATGTTTGGATGAAAGTAAATTGATTAAAACTAGAAAAGCCAAACCTATTGATTGTTGGTTAAAAGATGCAAGCTAAATGATCACAATTTAAGTTAGATCAATGAGAAGATTTTAATGAGTTAACCAAATGAGAACAATTAAATTGGGTTAATCAGAAGAGTGAGTCACAGTGAATGTCAAATAGCTTCAACTATTGATTGTAAGTTAATCACAGTTGAACATCTTAATGTTTTCAATATTTGCTTTGATCTAAATAATGTTAACAATGTTAATTTGTATGAATAAATGGTTAATTTGAATGGTTTTATTGCATTTTTTGTTGTTTCTCAGTCTCAGTTTTATCCAAATTATAATGTAAAAATTGAGTTATCAATGTTAATTAACTGATGGTGATAATGATGATGATGATGAACTAAAAGCCGATTAAAATCACAGTTAATTAAATGATTTATTTGTGTTACTAAATGGGCAGAAAAGGTACAATTAATTGTTCATCTTTTCTGGTTCAATGTTTTTTTCTGGTTTGTATTGCATCTGCTAATGTAAAACTTGACCAAATATGATTAAAACAACATTGTCTTGCCCTTTACTCGAGGATCGGGTTAACAGCTTAATTTATTTGTATTATTTATTAGCTAACAATTTGTTAACTTGCAACCAAATTGCAATTATTTATGAAACAATATTGGTTAATCACGCTTCATTTTTACCCCAAAAACAAGAGTAACTCATTAATTATTATAATCAGTCCAAGTAGTCAATGAGTTTTGTATGTGTGCTCAAAGTGCAATTTACATTTTGCTTTTTAATTGTAAAGAAAGTTCAATTTGATTAAACAACAGCTTTGCAATAGTTTTGATAATAATCAAATGGCTTCACGTTAATCAATTGGTTATTAGTCACTTAACGCTTAACCTGAGGCAAGTTTAGTAAGGAAAAAATTGAGCCTGAAAAAGTGGCAAAAAATGAGCAAAAAAAGTATTTTCATGATTGAAGATGATTAATATGAATAGATAAGTTGCTCATAAATGGTTATTTTTTCAACAAAAGGGAATCGTTTTCATTGTTTCAGTTGTAATTCAAGCTGGAGATTAGGAATCAATTGATGTCGCTTTCAGAAAAAGGTTTATCAGAATCAATTGATTAAGGTCAATTTACTTGTAAAATCAGTTGATTTAATAGCTTCTTTTAATCTCAAACTTTGCTAATCTGTTCACCTTTTTAAGCTTCAATAAAATCTGAAAAATTGAATTGCTTTTGCTAAATATTGGATATTTGGAGTTAATGAAATGTTTGCCTTAACTTGTAACATCAAAGTCTGTTTCTTGTGTTCAAAGATGATTTAGTAAGATTATCATAATTTGAAAACATTTTATTTTGATTTATTACGGAAGGAAATTCTGATCAAATCAATGAAATAATAATGATTATCAATTATCGATGCAAAACCAATTTAGCGGGAATTCTCAAGATTATCAATTCAGTTGATATGGAGACATGAAGTTGCACAAAAAAAGGTTTGATTGTTCACTTGGTTATAATGCAGATTAAATTTGCCAGGAAAATGATTTCGATGATTAAGTCTTGTTATTTCACAAAGACTAACAATTGAGTCTTAAGAGCCAATAATCGACTATAATCTACCATGGAAATGACTGAAATTCTGTGTACAGTAAGACAAGTATTTAAGATTAATCAGATACACTGAATCTGATACACAGAGATTTTCAAACTATATTTTCTTCAAACTCTAAATCTTTATTGTTACAGATTTTACTAGCTTCAAGCATTGAAAATTTTTAGATTTTTTCACATTTTCATATCAAATGTAACCTAAAAATTCTTACCGATTCACAGTCCACTTCTGTAAGACTGGCCATCTTTTTTCTTAATAAATCTGCCCAATGGATTGAGGGCAATTCAATGTCTGTTTG